TAATGGGCTAAGAACTGCCACGCCATCTAGGGAGGGGGGAGGTGTTTAGCTCGTTCCCGGGCTAGTTACTAGCCATTAGCTAAGATCTTTAAGGATAAGGATAAGTCCGATATGCGAAGCTGAGCCTCGCCCGGGCTATGGGAGAGCCCGGCCTGTGCCGACTAATGTCGACTCGCTAACAGTGTGTCAGCAGGTGCTGACTCGGGTGAGCTTAGTCCTTACCCACCGTGGTGCCCGGCCACAGCAGTAACCTCCAGGCGACAATTGCAACTTCTCGCGCCTGGGCGGGGCGCGAACCGCCGACCCCTCGTATGAGAGGCCGACACGTTACCACTGTACTAGCCCGGAGGCTCTAAGATCTTTGCTGGGGGTCGGCTATATATAGCCCGGGAACCGAGCGGATCTCAGCAGGGGGTCTGGATAGTATGCTCGTCTTAGCGGCCGATGTATACCCGGCGGAAGCGAAGACGTTGCTTTGTTGTATTGTTCCCCTGCGGTCGTAAGGACGGTTTTATATGGCAGTAAGGTGGGGTATTTTAAACTTTTCTCCTTTTTTATAGTATTACAGAGTGCTCTTTTATTATGGTGTTTTAGGTTCCATTTTTATTGTTTTATTTTGTGTATTTTTTTTGAGTTCTGTTGAGTTTTTTAGTGAACTTTCGGAAGTAATAAATGTATTTTAAGACTCGCAAGTGAAATCCCTTTTTTTATTAAACCCTTTTTTATGAGACTACATGATACTTACCTGGCTACCTGGTGACAAGCAATTGACCACCTTCTATCAGCCCTTAAGGCTGACACGCACTCCCCTCGGGATTTAAACGTTACCAACCAAACCCTTGTTGATTAAGTCATATTTCCTTTTCTTACACACATGCTTTCCTTTCTTGCTGTCTTACACTCTTCTAGACGTCTTCTCCTTTCCACATATAAATTGTTCCTGGACGTACTAACCAGGTGGTGGCAGCGCTAATGACCTAATTAGCAAGGGGTTAATTAAGTAGATCACTACAGTACCATTCCCCCTGATCTGCTGAGAGGTGTGGCCATCTCTCTCTGGAAGGGGAAAGGGGATCGGAGGGACTGCAGCAATCACCGAGGCATTACACTACTCAGTATACCAGGCAAGGTATTCGCGTACATCCTACTAAGACGTATCAGAGACCACCTGCTGAGGCACCAAAGGCCGGAGCAATTTGGATTCACTCCTAGTAAGTCCACAATAGACTGCATCCTGGCACTTCGAGTCATTGTAGAGTGCCGTCATGAATTCGGATGTGGGATGCTTGCAGCTTACATCAACCTCAAGAAGGCGTTTGATACGATGCATGGTGAATCACTCTGGGAGATCCTGGATGAGGACTACGAGGAAGTCAAGGAGGACCTGTGCGAGACCGAGGACGTGTGGACGTCGAGGACGGATGGATTTACCAAGGACTAGGGTGAAGAGGACGACAAGGACGAGCAGCCATGAAGATACACCAGGGACAGCGCACGCGAGAACGGAATGACCAGCAAGTCATGACCAGCCAAGTTGGGTCAAATCTTAGGCACCACAAGGGCGAGGCATTAGTAGGTGCAATATACCGTGTACATAAGCACGTTTTGCATAAGCTATTAGACATAGACTACGTGGCCGTTTGCCACATGGATCGAAGTCCAGTAGAGAACCATTGAGTCAGCGAGGACTTAGATGACATGTTTATTTGACCTTGTTTGACCTCTCAGATGTACCTCAGCACCCGCTGGGCTCATGTCATATCACCAGCCTTCCGCCCCTAATTAGTTACAGTTACAGTAAAGAATAAACATATTGATATATAGAAATATTATACATGTTCATAACTAATAAATGCATAACACTTTATATAAATTATTACAAATCATAGAGTAATTATTTCAATTCACCGAAAATTATGATTTCCGAGCCCTCATACTGGTATCTTATTTCATGAGTCTTACACCCACTAAATGGCCAATGAACCTTATATTCGCTGCCTGGAATGTGAGAAACCTTATGCTTCTACAGTGAAACGCAATATTCGACAAAATGAGTCTAATGCTCATTTATAAACAGCGAGCCTTACGCTCTCTGTTCTGAACGTCTTTCCTCATGGAACTTCTCTCCATGTCTTGTAGTAGAGCGCGTTTTGGCATCTACCACTTAGACTGGTGTATATTTCTTTAGGGAGTGATTGTTGGAGTTGAAGTGGAGATCAACGAGGGAGCCTGAGAAGGCTCCACAGCCGGCTAAGGACTAAGTAGTCCTGTGTTTACCGTTGCTGGTGGTCGTCTTTGTCTGGAAGATCGGGGAATGCTTATCTCGGTTCCAATACAATACAATTGAGATTTGCAAAGATCTAGCTTTGCCTGGGCTTTCCATATATGGCCCAGCCTGTGTCAGCTTTTTATGGCTGTCTCATTTTGTTCTTTGACACTCGGTGCTTACCGTGATGGCGGGATTGCCAGTAAGTGCTCCTGCCACCATGATGTAAGCATATCGCATAATCTCTTGACCAGCATGGCGGCTGTTATGGGCGGTCTCTGTCTCAGGAATTGTGTGCTCACAATTCTGTAAGTAGTGTATCAGGGTGGCGTTCGGCTCACCACAATGCACACAACACCTCTCTTCACGGTCTACTGTCTCTATAATCTGCCATGCACAGTGGTAACCTAGTCTGATTCTGTGAATAATGACTTCGGTACCTCTATTGATTACTTCAAAGAGTGCCAGTGGTTCATAGCCTGTGGCGTCTGAGTACCAACTGGCCGAGGGGGAGGATCTCGTTTTCTCTCTGTGAAGCTGCAGGAGGAAGGTACGAGCGGCCGCAGTACACTTCTCCTTTAGTATTTTTCGGCTTGGTTGTATGATCATGGGCTTTGGGGGCATACCCCTGCCAATGTCGGCTAGTCTGTCAGGAAGCTCATTCCCTCTGATGCCAATGTGGCTGGGGACCCAGTTTATGATTATTCTTCTACCCTGAACAAGAATTCTCTGTGCTATGGTAAGCACAGTGGTCAGGAGGTCTTTGGGTGACCTGTGGTGAAGACAGTCGATGGCTGCCCTCGAGTCAGCATGTATGACCACGTGTCCTTCCCTCAGGGACGGGAGGGGGGGGGGTAAGACTCCCATGATTACAACTGCCTCTGCCAGAAACTCCTTTTTATTGGTGATATCCTGTGTCGGCTGGGGAGCAGTTTCTTTCCTCTAAGGAAGCCGGGAAGCCTTTTCTTTTTTGTTCTTTCCCCAGACATAGATGCCTGGGGAAGCAGGAACAAAGTCTGGTCGCTTTTTAGCAATCTCTTGTCGCCTGAGGGCCGTCTCTTTCCTGACAGAGTAAGTCAGGCTCCAGGCATGATGCCTCTTGGCACAGTTGGGACATTTGTCAATGGTTACACCGAGCACGGTGTAAGAGTGTGTTATTTGAAGAGGAACTTGTAGTCTGTCGAAAAAGTTTAGATGTATTGGATTGTAAGAAGGATTGTGTTTTGGGTTTGAAAATAGAACTTTTGTTTTTGTCACATTAGTTTTGATAAGCCATTTGTGCTCCCACCTCCAGACGGTGTCAAGCTCGTCGTTGATTCGTCGGACAACACCAGCGAGCGAATCATGTCTGGCTAAGTGAGTACAGTCGTCAGCGTACAGGAGCGTCAATGAATCGGGAAATGTGGGGTCGGGGAGGTCATTTGTGTATATGTATAGTGTTGGACTGGTTATGCTGCCTTGAGGTCCATCTGCATGCATATGAATGGTATCTAATTTATGGTCATCCAATTTTCCCTCTTGCGATGAAAAATTGAATTTGGTGCACAGTTTGTACTTCAACCTAATGTCTCTAGTAAACTCATTGGGCGGTAATTCTTGGGGTCAGTTAGGTCTTTGTTTAGCTTAAGGATAAGGGCCACTAAAGTAGTTTTGAAAGGTGAAGGATAGTAGCCAGAGACAAGAGAAGGGTTATATAGGTGCGTCACAGCTCGTAAAACGTTGTCAGGAAGGTGAATGACTGCGTCACGTCCGATCTGAGAGGATCCCGGAGCCTTTCGAGGAAGCCTCATTGTTAGTTGTTTAACCTCCTCCAGCGAGATATCAGATGCACGGAGTTCGTATGTATCGTCCAGATGATAGCAATGATGATAATAAGGATTATAACGATGGTAATGATAATAAATTATTATAACAATAACAATAGTACTGTTCATTGTGATAAACGTAAGAAATCCGTCAAAATCGAGCGAAAAAGGCCTTTTTTTAATTAAAAGGATAACATACTAACTATGCAAGTTCAAATCGATTCATCACACACGTAAAGCCATCTCATTCTTCTGAAGTTAAAAAGAAAGGAAGAAAAAAGAAATAAATAAAGAAAATTAAAATAAAATAAAAATGAATAAATAAATAAATAAATCAACTACAACCACAACTACAGTTTTTAAAAATGTAACCAAAAGGCCATCTTTTTCTACTAAAATATCTCAATTAAATAAATGTATTAAATTTTACAACATAAACTAGAATGCTACAGATGCCATTTTTGAAGATAAATAAAAGAAAAGCCTCTTCTTTTCATGGGGTTTTACCGCTACAAAATAATACAGATGGATGGGGGGGTGGGGTGGGGGGGGCTGGACAGCCATGGGGCAGATTTTAAAAGGGTATAAAAATAAAAATGTCAGAATTCACAGATTTTGGCCCAAAAGCCCCCTTGGGCGAACGCACTTCATTTCGGTCCCCAGGGTTGAGTTCAGGTAGATATAATGAACAGAAAGAAGCACTTGGTTGAACTATATTTTATTGGAAAGTAGCGGATGGTCAGAGTTCAATAAGCTTTGCAAAAACAATGAATCTGTACTTTTTAACCCTATATTACGCTTTACATAAATCTGAATCTGGGAATATAAGGTTTATATAAAATAACACAATATATAGATAAAAAAGACTGTAGAAATCATATTACTATAAGTATCATAAAACTACAGTAATAGACAAAATATAACTCCAACTAAAATAAATTAGCAAGTGATGGCAGTACTAGCGCATCACACACACATACACACACGCGAGCACATCTATCTATGTGTATGTGCTCACGTTGTTACGTACACCCGCTAAAGAGTTCATTTGTAATCCACTGGGTATATTGGTCCACGCGGGTATAGATGCTAGGAAATCTAGCTTCCCCACACCCATACCCTGTACTAACCACGCCTACCTCCTGCATAATTCCACCTTCGTTCAGCACCAATGGACCACCAGAATCGCCCTTGAAAGGAGGTAGAAAAATAAATAAAAATAAAATGAGCGGAAATGGAAATCTCTCACTGGGCATATGTGAAAAAAAAAACATAATACACTCACTCTGCACACATCGTTGATTTTCCCGGCACACAGCAACCTGTTCGTTATGCCCTCAGGGTAATCTGCTTGGAAAAATAGATTTGTCTGGGCGTCGCCGAAGTATGCTTCATTGCACTCACTCTGGGGCACTACCTCGACATTTAGCTCGTGAAGCACTGTTGATACCTTCCCTGCAGTGAAATTAGAGAAATATTAGCAAACGGTCGAAAATAGAAATAAAAAAATACCATAAAATGAAATGTCTAAAGTTCGGTTCAGAGATATCTGAAAAACACACGTATGCGCACGCACACACACACACACACACACACACACACACACACACACACACACACACACACACACACACACACACACACACACACACACACACACACACACGTGCCTGAAAAGGTCGACGATCATCCACCGATTGAAAGGACAGTGGACAACAAGCCGTAGGTCGTGAGAAGGATGGACGGTCAGTCTGAACCGACAAAGTCAGACGAAAGGTGGAACTGTGATCGTCGAAAGACTGCGGTTATATCACCGCCTAAAGCGGGACCCTAGAGTCTCAATGTTGATATCTTGCACGTGTGTTTTTGTGAAAATAATCCTTTGTTTTGGGGAAATTATTTTGAAGAAATTGAGAAGACATGTCACGGCTGCAAGATCATCATGGATAATTGCTTAAGAGAGCTCCAACTAGTGGGTGCGTTGCAGCGCCACTGCTGTCCCTCTCACTGATATCGCTGACCAGTCCTGATGATATACAGCAATGCTCGCGTCAGGTCAACTGATTTTGGTCTTGGTATGGTGCAAGTGACGGAGGCGAGAGATAAGTCCGAGCTGAGCCTCGCCCGGGCTATGGGGGAGCCCGGCCTGTGCCGACTAATGTCGACTCGCTAACAGTGTGTCAGCAGGTGCTGACTCGGATGAGCTTAGTCCTTACCCACCGTGGTGCCCAGCCACAGCAGTAACCTCCAGGCGACAATTGCAACTTCTCGCGCCTGGGCGGGGCGCGAACCGCCGACCCCTCGGATGAGAGGCCGACACGTTACCACTGTACTAGCCCGGAGGCTAGGCGAGAGAGCTGGGCCTGTGGGTAGCTAGATGCAATCACAGTCACGTCAAACAGCGGGCCAGGAACATTGGTACTATCATGCTCCAGGAAAGCTTCACTGGAGACATGGTCTGCTTTTCAAGGTATCATTCCCTTTTGCTGGCGAACATCCCCTCCTCCAGGATCATTAACTCTGCACGATGTGAAGAATTTCCTGCTGTTGAGATCCTACTAAACTCTTTAAACTATTTAACATACTTAATAGGTTAGGATGCGGAGGCTTAGATATCAATTAGGCCTGTGACACTGCGCACAGGGCTATGCCACTATAAGGGAGAACGGCGATTCCCACTTTCTCATCTTATCTCCTGGCAGGGCAAGAGATGTGACCGCCCATCTCACAGTTCAGGTACTGGATGAGGGAATGAAAGGTAGAAAGAATGAGAGGGTCGTAAAATCGCAACGTTTCGAACACGTCAAGAGTTAGTCATCAAACGTAGGAATATCCGAAATGGATACGCTTCCGTTTATAATAAAGAAATGAATAAATGAATACTCATATACTTATATACACATTTGCACACACACACGCACACATTGTTAAATACGGAGATCAGGCAATGCGTGGTTTAGCCATGGGTTTTGTAAATGTATGCGGTTCATGTTGAAAGAATAATCTGGGTTAATATGTGAAACATTGAAAAAGATAGTGAGGCTTTGTGAGCCGGAAAAGGAGACCGAAGGAGAGGGAGGCGAGAAGTGACCGCGAATACTACATGGTAAGCGTTTTTGTGCACAGAGACAACTGCCGCGACTACAGCGTTAGTTTTGTTTGTGTTATGGGTAACCATTCAAACCAGGAAAAATGAAGCTAACGGATGCAGTAGATAAAATCACGGCTCTTGAAGCCAAGATAGACAGCCTGGTAGCAGAATGTTTGAAAGTACACGAAGAAAACGTAAATTTGAAGGAATTGGTGGATAATTTGAGCAGGAACACAACCATTCAGAGAGAGAGAATACTGAAAAGTCTGACAGGAAAATCAAAGAACTCAAGGAAAAGGTGGAAAAAGTAGAAACCAAGACTGGCAACAGTAGTCAAATCGAGGCAAAGAATCTGCAAGAAAAAATGATGAAGTAATCAAAGTACAGGAAACTGTTCGGCAGATTAAAAGCAATTTGTTAAGCACTCAAATAACGGAGGAGGTAAAAAAGATGACAACTACATATGTCAATGCATCTAAAGGAAAGGAAACTGTAAATTAAATGAAAAAAAGTTAAAAAAAAACATCAGCATCACAAAGGAAGAAATAAAGACAGCTTGCAGAGGCGGTAAAGAAAAATAAATTTAAGTCACATCTTCGGCAACACGCAAGGGTATTGGAAATTTAACAGATGTAAACAAGGACCGGATCCTTCCGTTGACGATGCGACATTAGAGACTACAATATTTGGAGAAAAGATCGGGCAAATAGACATGGAGAGGGAGGGCAGCAATACTAGCAAGGGAAGAAATTATAAAGAAGCTTGAGATTCACCAAGACCCCATTTTTGAACTAAAGGAAATTGACGTAAAACAGAGTAAATCTAATAAGAATTACAGTGTACATACCCCCTTATACATCGGTGTGGTCACAAAAAAATTACCAAAACTTATTCAAGAAATGTTAAAGAGCCTGGAAGGAGTGCTACAACTTTCGGAAACTAATGCAAAAGAAATTCTTGTAACGGGATTTTAATAGCGCACACACACACGCGCACGCACACACACACGCGCACGCACACACACACACACACACACACACACACACACACACACACACACACACACACACACACACACACACACACACACACACACACACACACGCACGCACGCATACACGCATATATGTGTATATATATACATATATAATATATATATATATATATATATATATATATATATATATATATATATATATATATATATATATACTTGCATGCATACATAGATACACACACATACACATGTGTATATATATGTATATATATATATATATATATATATATATATATATATATATATATATATATATGTATGTATGTATGTATTATATGTATATACATACACATACATCTATATATATACATATATATAGACTTGCATACATACATAGACAGACACACACACACACACATATGTGTGTATACATATATACATATATGTATACACACACACTCACACATGTATATGTGTGTTTGTGTGAGTATACCGTGTACATAAACACATGTGTAAGCCATTGGACACAGACCACGTTCAGTAGAGAACCATCGACTCAGCGAGGACTTAGATGACGAGTTTATATAACCTTGTTTGCCCCTCAGTAAGACAAAATGAGACGGCCATAAAAAGCTGACACAACCCGGGCCATAGCCAGAAGGCCCGGGCGAAGCTAGAACTTCGCAAATCGCAATTGATTGATTTGTGTCTAGCGGTCGACGTAGTAAGGTCTATCCCCTGCCTTCAAGGCTGGTTGCCGGACCACGCGACCCCGCGCTCAGCGCTTCCCCAAGCCATCGTCTCGTGTGCTCTCTTACTGTGTAATTCATTTGCGATTTGCGAAGTTCTAGCTTCGCCCGGGCCATC